ATTAGTGTCGATTGTACAGAGGAGTTGAATTTAAGCCAAAATTATAACACTTATGTAAAATGAGGGTGTATCTTGGGATGTGAATACTGTTTTCAACATTTGACATAGTCTCCTACAACAGTTACACACTTATCCAAGCACCTAGCCAAAAGAAGAAAAGATTCAGTGCAGAAAGACTCGCCAGTGCAGCTAAATTAGCCTAGGACAATCTTGGGCTTTCTGCAGCTATCCAAAGGCTTTACGCTGAGTCACAGGAAACTTCATCACCACATTCTATCCTATGCACCCAATACTACGGCTGGCCGCTATCTCGATTGCCACATTTGCTGTGAAGATCTTCGTTATCCCAACCCACAAAATTTGCATCCTATTTAATGTTACACTTCCCAAAACCGGAGACAGTAAATTTCCTCAAAGCGTAAACACTCCTACTCTAATTTGTTGTTTTAATCTCCCCAAATCATTCTCGACACGATTCGGTGAAACTAGCTGTCACAACATGACAAGGGACAAATGTCACACAAATGAACGTGTTAGTAATATCCAGACTGACACATGAGACGTGGGCCAGCTGTTAATAGTAGGACACGACTTGCACTTGCTATTGTATACGGTTCAGCCACAGTGGCGTTGCCTTTTAAAACTGTTAAATTTAATTCTCCATTTGGCTTCCTATTCGAATTTTCTCAATAAGCCTTCCATCGAAATGGGGTGAAAATAAACCTAATCTGTGTTGTCTCGTACCCGCCCTCGTCTGCGCCATAGTTCCCAGCCCCTTCCCCAATCGAAGCGCAGTACTCATTCTTGGGGTCAACATTGGCCAATCACATCTGAAGTAAAGTAGACAGCTTGGAAATAAACTGAGATGGCTAAGACAAGGTTGCTTGCTTATGGAGGCAGGGTCCTTCGTAAAGACAAAGTTCGCAAGTTTGTGCCTGCTTAAGGAATAATGGTAGTTACAAATGGTGGTTACTTCAACGAATAAATTACTCTTAAGAAGCTTTCTGTAGCTTCGGTTACCTAGTGCAAACTGGTTAGTTGGTGACTTGAAAACAGACTAACCTTGCAAAATGGTGGGCTTAAAACAATGACGGAATAAAGCACCATGTGCTGGATTTAATAAATTTACTTGATCGTCACAGCTAGTTGCCCACTCTCGCAAACGGGTTACGTCAACATCATGGAAATTCCCACCATAGGCTCAGGCTCAGCTTTCGTGGGAGGATTACTTAAGATCTTTCTCTTGAAGGCAGTACTTAACCTAGCTGTGTTCATGACCTACGAGGGTAGTACAATAATGGCAAGCTTGACAATGAGCGAGTTTCTTCTGGGAGCTGTTATTAAGCCGAGTGAAGACAATCTGGTTTTTACTTAAATAGAGGGTGGTTTCTTAAACGTTTTGCTTGACCAATGCAAGATACTTATGGCAGTGCGTTAGGAGCAGCCTTCGGCTGTGTTGTGAACTCTTTAAAGCTAGTGGAGCTGAGTATGACAATCACCTGAAATTAAACCATTAACGTTATAATTTCCCAAACTGAGTTGATTAGGGAACTCACCAAATTTTGAATGTGTTCTTATAATCATACATGTTTTGAGAAATGGTAAACTCTACCGGCTTAGTTCACGATTCACGGGTCTTATGGAGAGTAGAATTTGCAATTCAACAAGAGAGAGGTATGATGATGGAGTGAGCATTGGTCGTCATTTAAGCTTTCTCGGGTTTCGTAAGAGTCTTTGCTACGAAAACTTTCACATTTTAAGAAGTAACCGGCCTCTGACAATAAACATGCATAAACCATTGCAAAGGTCAAGGGCTTCAAGGTGGTCAGTGGTGCTGATTTCATTCAAACCGGGTTTTTTCATCATCATGGGAGGGGATCAGATTAAAGAATAGATTTTTTAGATTCTTGGAAAATTATAAGGACACAGCACGCTGCGAATTTGTTTTCATGCTAAAATTCGGTTTATTCTATCCAAAATTCCTATCTTGTAACAACTCGTTCGGTGGAACTATACACCATCCCTTTTTATTTCAAATTGAATTCAGAAGTTTACTATGAAAATAAGCGATTTAAAGGCATGCACACGGCCCTAAGTACACGCCACGAAAAAGCTACTTCCTGGACCAATTATGAGTTTTTCATTGTTCTGTTTTATAACGGCGCCACTCTACGTACACCCATGTGCTATTCTACGCCATCCTTGAGTAACACACTTGCTACCACGATCTGCCTCAGAGGTACTTCAATCACCACTTCCTTAACATTTACTGCCTCAATGCAGCACCAACTGACACTCAGTTGTGATGTGAGTCTCAAGCAAGAAGGAGGCTGCATCTATTTTCTTATTTTCCCACTCAGCAAGTCTCCTGACTGCACGATTTGTTGCAACCTATTATCATAAATGGGTGAGAGGCACCTGCAACATATCTGTGGCGCCGAGTTGAGATGAATCGGGGCGTCAGGTGAGTGCTCAGGTAGTAGCAAAGGTGCTACTATCTGTACAAATAACCGCCCTTTGACAAAGTGTGTGCATTCCCCCTCCTTTTTGATATAGAGGGATTTGAATAGCTGTGTGCCGAATGGTGCTGAAGTTGGTGTGGTTGGCTAGAACAGTTCAAAAGAAACACCTCGGTTGTATCACTCAATACCAATGACAACGCCATTTAGGGCGCCAACCAGTTGGTAGGTGAAGTGTCGCATTGCAAAGAAGGCATCACGTATACTGTACACAGCAGGCCACGCATTGGGCACACCCTACCGACCTGACAGTCGATGGAGCCAGTTTTATCAGACTGGTGAATGCAAATAATTCTGCCCCATAAATGATTCGCTTTAATGCCTTGCATGGATCGGTGATTTTCCAGGACCACGTTAGAGATCCACATTTCATTTTAAATAAGTAACTTTTGAGGTAAAATTTTATCACGACACGAATCCCTCTTTTCTGAACTCGACTGAGGACCGGCCTCTTAGCATTTCTTATGCCTAGAACAGTGTTCTAAAATGCCCTGAAGACCTGATATTCTCCTGGCTTTCTAGTTCAATGAGCAGGATGGCATTTACAATTAATTGAATAAACTGCAGCCACATTGTGAAGACACGCACGAAATTACGGTGTCCAGGGACACTCTTAACAATAGCAGAAAAAGTATTGCAGTGCAATTGGATTGCAGCATAAATACAGGCCAAATGATGTGGTGCGAGGGTCCGAGGGTGCATGGCGTGATTGCATACACACGCAGGCACAACCTGATGTGCACAGACCGTTTCTATTTTAATGACAAGCCAAATGTCACCGCGCCGTTTTGCAGCGTAGCTAGTTAACCGTGGCGAGACAAGTCGCGAGACAAAACAAGGACAAAGGGAGGTATTTTCACGGTTTTTGTCAAGGTATTCTTCATTAATATTTTTGATCAAGTGAAGCAATTTGCGGGATATAAGGCTGTAAGCTGGGCCATCCCAAATTGCTGGCATAGCTCATGCGAGCCACGGTGTTCCTATAGATACGCTACCCAGCCAATAGCATACAATGGAAATTTTACAAAAAAGGGTTCCCGTTTGTAACTTCTCTGAAAGGCCACAATTAGCATGCCTTTATCCTTTTTACCTTTGTATTGCAAAGATGAGGTGCTGCTATCCTGCGTCGAATTAAAAATCGCTTGTTTGTTTCTGACTGGTGCAAATAGCACTGAATCGGCTTTTGAGTTGAACGTCTTTCAGCCGTTCATGCCTCTTCTGCTTGTGCTCCAATTTTGAAAGTTTGTTATCGAGTGGGTGTAAAAACTTCTGCAAAAGTACTTCTCTTTGTATTTGAGGAACTACAGCCAAAGAGGAGGTCTCCTTAAACGCAAATGTTAAGAACGATGTAATTCTCACCACCGGTGTTCTCAAGACGTATCATTCAACAAACCACGAATGCTCCAATTATATTCCGTTTACAATATAATTAATAGTCACAAGAAAACACGTTAATGATTGAATTGTAGTCTTCACTGACACTTGATATTGAATGTGAAATCACGGCGTAAAAGGGGGACGCGATGTTACTGTGGGTGACGCCCAATTGAGGTGGCGCAAGCACCTTTGATTGCCATTTTTAAAATCATGCGAAAAATAAGTGACTCCCATTGTGGTTTTCACTTGAGACAATTTCGCCTCTTAACATACACACAATTACAACTGGGTCGCCGTTATTAACACTCCTAGGCCTATGCTAAAGTTTCAGTGGAGTTTTGTTAGCTGTCAGATTGAAAGAGGTTTCAAACGACTAGACACTTTCGCTATTCCGG